GGGCTGCTGCCGATGTTGTGTTAATGAGGCTGGCTCTATCTGGGATTATTACTGTGATGGATACGAGCAAATTAACTTTGGTTGGAGCTTCATTTATAATACATCTGCTGTGCTTCTTGCTGCCGGGGTGTTTATGAAAGCTAGGATTCCCCCTGGAGCTGTTGGGCTGGGTGAACTTATCAACGTGTTGTCTGTGATTATCGTTGTAATCCTAGATCTAGTTTGGACTATATATACTTTAATATTAGATGTAACTCTCGGGCGTGCTGGTTTAGTTGCTTGGTAGACTTATATATGGAGAGCTAAGGCTTCTGATGTACTTCTACCGAACAATTCACCCATTTAGTTGTTTTCGATAAATATTGATATCACGATAAGGGTAAGTAGAAACTGGTTTTAAGATTGATTACATACAGATCAGCATGGTTCTTGTTGGTGCGATAAAAATTTATGTGCATAGGGAATCTTTGACAATATATTTGTTAATACTATCAATATTCAAAATATAGCGAGGAGTTAACCACTGAGACTAATCTCGACCATCGCTGGAATAGCTGCTTTATGGCTCCTCTATGCTTAGGCCTGCGTGCCGGAAGTGTCCCTCTGCGCTTTTGTCCCTTGTACTGACGATGTCAATATACCATTCGAGAAAGGTATCGAATCCTTGGTCTGAATTTTCTTCGTACGAGTGCTAATTTCGCTGAATGAAAGCTTTTAACTTAGCAAAGAACTCCTCGATAGGATTCAAATCTGGAGAATATGGAGGTAAAAAAACTAGCTTTACTTCAGCTTCTAAACACATCTGTTCTATTCGCTCCGAGTGATGAAAAGATGTGTTGTCTATAACTAATATAGACTTCGCCTCGGGCCATTTCCTATAATGCTTAAGAAGTTGAGCAATAAAATCCTTAAAGACAGACGCATCGGTTGAGCCCTAAAACACTCTGGATAGAATAACGCCATCTTGGGCATAGGTAGGTAGTATTTGATATTGCTTATTACGATGGAATTTAGATACTTAAACTGGTGCTATACCTAGCGGGGACTAACCTGTTCTTCTAAAGCCTATCCTTTTATTATATCTAGACTCATCTATATAGATAAGGTGGTAAGACTAGAAGTCAGAGATAAAGTGGAGGTAATCGTCACGTAGGTCTAAATTGCGCTCTCGGGCTTTGACTCGGGCAATTTTCTTTTGACCAGCCTCTGGACGTAAGGGCGCGGCTGATACTCGATTTTATTGCTTGAAGAGCGAATTCGTCCCACAGAAAAATCGCCATTTCGTCAAGGTATAGGGTAGGCTTTTCGAGTAAATAATCACACAAAGCCTTAAGCATGACTGGAGTGATGCTACGAGGTCATCCGCCTTTGTTAGGCGGTGATTTAACGCTGCCGAACATTCGTATATTAGAAGAGATCTTTAAAATGGTACTCCTATTGCAGCTAGCAGCATGTGCCATCTGCGATATAGATAGCTCGCCACTGTGGATCATGTCATAGATAAGCTCATGTTTAGAAGGGGCTAGGTTTGGCGCCATCTCGGTTCGACCACTCGCGATTGATTTTTAAGATACGCCGTCACTTGGAAGGTTGATTTAAAGGCGGGGTATGGAGGTATCAGATTGGTTTACAAGTGGATACATGTTTAATATACAATGTAATCTAAGTAAGATACAATACACTTCCAACCAACAGGGGTGCTTCGGAAAAATTCCCAATCTAGATTAGTGTGGCTTGGCATTATGGCCGGAGAATCAATCGAAGCGTGTAGGTAGTCGCACCAGTTTCCGGATGTACTATATTCTCATCGCCAATCAGAATGAAGATTTGCAGTTGGTCGTTGCACCGTAGAGTCTTGTTGCGAGAAAGTCTGTTTACACTCGACCTAGAGCAAAAGTCCCAAATCTAGGATTCTTACAAGTTTGATTATAACGGTTCATGTGCATGGTATTACAATCAAATCAAGCGGCTGCTCTGTTGAGTCTGACGGCCGGTAGTTACGATAACCCTTTATATTTCATCGATATATCTCGGGCAACTGGAAGAACCATTGACGAGGATCTTCGTACTGACGTTGTCCAAGAGTAAAAGCCGGTCAACTGTTTCAGAAAGTCCTATTTGCTGTTACTCTGTCCCTAGTTTTGTGTCCTGTTATCACCTGTTAGCTTTCGATCTATGGATGTTTCTGAGTGAAGCACACTAGTATGACTATTTGATCAACACTTAGGTAAAAGACGAGCTATCCATGGATGCAGTGGTACTATGAAGCAATAGAGAAATAAGCAGAAAGTGGAACTGGAAGGTTGAAGGCATATTGTCATCATTGCTAAGATCATAGGGGGATTCGCTATCTATATATTTCTCCACACTAACACATTCTGAAGTACACTGGTACCTCGTAAATAATAGAAAACGCAAAAGCCACGCACAATCGCCTTTTCGCCGTCAGCCTGACTTACTGGTACTGCTACAGGTATAATACGAGACAATGAAAATAGTACATAATCTATTAATATACTTTGTAATATTTAATTTATATTATAAGGCGGCTCCTACGTGTCCCCCCAGGTACGCCTCCCGACACATAATCAGGTACAATTAACATGGATAGACCTGGTACGAGATGCAGAGCATGCCCTATGATTGGACTGGTCAATAAATAATTAGCACCACCGGAGCATGATCAATGACCAGTCAAATAAGCAGACCGCCAAAAAGGCAAATGGATCGTCTCTCCAGGGGTGGGGGAAAAAAGAAGAAAAAAAAAAACAGGTAGGAATGTGCATATCAACAAATAAAATACTCCTGGAAGATATGGAAGTCTGGAGATCAAGTTAAGACGTCCGCCCGCGGGCATATCTGATCGGCTCCTCCAATTCAGGTTTTATCGATAAGCCCTGCAAGTTGGTACCTGGCTCTACTTGGCCATGCGCCTCCCTGCCCAGATGCCAGCCTTAGTGGCGTCCTGCAGATGTACCTACAGGTACCCGGGGTCTGGGATTTCCCCCCCCCCCTTCTTTGGCGATGATCCATGCTATTTATTTGACCCCCACATGGGTTAGATATTGTATTTCGCCGTGTTGTATGAATTTCTCCCGTGGGAGACGTCAACTAAACTGTCGATCATTTAAACTAGCGCCAGTAGCCCCATCTTCATCCATTTCACCTATAGCACCATTTTCATATCCCCGCATCGTATGTCGTAAACTATATATACGTAATGTAGAATTAATATGCCGCACCTAAGGAGGGGGACCATGTTTCCAGAGACTAGAGTCGCCTCCAGGGCTCTTTTCTCCCCACCAATCGTGTCTGGTGGATCGTAACCGAACTTCCACGGGGGCCGATCTAGGGCCGATCTGGGGGCAATGCACACGGTAAGTTTTGGATTTAGCAATATAGCTCAAACCCTAGGGGATAAGAACATCATTCACCCCATGGCGTCACATCTTTCCGATGAGGTATTCCAATGACCTCAAGTGAAATAGAGTACATTAAAGTACATCAGAACCAGGGATCTGTGGATGTACAGCATTGGGAGTTGCCGTTTGCAGACTCGAGGGAAGTGGGGTGAAAGTTTAGTTGGGACGCAGGCACGATGGGCCAACGGGCTTAGCCCCAGGGGGGGGGTCGAAAGTTTCAGGAGTTGCCTGAATGCGGTTCAAACGGAGCTATCGGATTAAAGTGACGAGTTCTACTTTTTTTTTGTTTGGTTAATAAGTTTAATATGTCGAAAGAGGTAAAAACTATGTTCTAGAATGTATATTGTAGATTTGTATACTCCGTATTCTGTACAAGAATTAAAGATCTCTTATCAATAAACCCCCCGCAGTTTCTATCTAAAATTATCATGGGGCTCGGACCAACTCTGTGAGATCCTCCATAAGAGGGCTCGAGCAAAGATTGAAGACCTCGGGACCATTCGGAACTCCCTATACCGCGTAACCATTCTCTTAAAAGAGTATGACGAGATGCGATACATCCACGCGAATGCAAGGGGGTTTGATTTTGGAGGGAGTGGTTAATGGGTCTGGAGAGTATAGGTTAACCCTAAAGATCTCCACCAAAAGAGTCTCGACCTTCTCTAAGAACCAAACCTATCGAGGCTTGGCAGTGCCTATTTCCAGGGTCTTGGAAAGATTGTTAACGTCAAAGATCCTAGTTTGGATTTTGTATAGGCTATAATTATATATAATACATATTCAAAGAACTAGGTCTAGACTTCCAATTCAAAGCTTCTAGTCCAAGTCACTGAATCATGGAGGTGCCTGGTGCCTTTTCAAAATGGAGACACGCGGATATCTGGTGAAACACTTAATGATTCGCATCGGTAGGCCCGGAAGGTCTTTGAGTTCCTGTTGAGTTCCTGTTTGCCCCTCGCTTCCGATAAGCCTCTTCTTCTCATCGTCACCATTTTCTTTTTTATATATACTGCATATATACTGGCATCTCTTTTCTTTTTACTTTTTTTTTCTCCTTTCCGGCTGGTCGGATATTCTATCTATATATACATTTTTCCCTTTTCTTTCTTTCTGGAAAGAGATGATCGCGATCAGCTAACGACCTTCCCTTTTTTTTCCTTCTATTTCTTACATTCTTGACTTCTCCCCGCCCTTGCGTTTGAGAATCCTAGTACACATTCTATTTCCACCCCTCTTTTCTCTTTCTCTTCAAAGTAAGCGCACTTTCAAATCGTACGTGAGCCTCCGACTTTGGTTTTCCTCTCTTTTTCCTTTTTTTTTTGTCCACTCTAGTAGTGTCCCGAGTTACTAAGTTTGCGCAAATGTTCACAGTCAATCCGGCACAGACTCCGCGTCTTGATCTCCGACTGTTCCGTAGCGCTACGGTTTTTACGACTCGACATAGAGATATATAGAACCCCCCCAACTGGTTCTGGGGTGATTATTCCGATCGGATTGTCGGCTTCGCGACTGGTGGTCAGGAACATTTGCTCCCCGAAGACCTGACATCACTCCCGCCGCCCACCCTCTTACGTCGCCATGGCTTCCTTTCTCCCTGTCAACAACTCGGCCTCTGAAGACCACGCTATGGACGGAGCAGCTACACCTCGTGCGGTCCCAAATGGTGTGTCGGCCGACGTTTCTTCGACGGAGCAGTTTCCGGACGGAGTTTCACACCACAGCCGTGGTAGCGACGCTTCATCCCGCACAACCTTAACTCACGTTCGAACCCCATCAACGTCTGACGAACAAATGCACGATTCCGAGGGAGAACACGACGATTCCGATCATGATCAAAATGTCGGGGGTAACGCACCACCCTCAAAAAAGAAGAAAGGTCAACGATTCTTCTGCACATCTTTCCCTCCTTGCAATCTGAGTTTCACACGGAGCGAACATTTGGCTCGCCATATTCGAAAACACACCGGCGAACGTCCCTTCCAGTGCCACTGCTCTCGGCGGTTTTCCCGACTCGACAACCTCCGCCAGCATGCTCAAACCGTCCATGTCAATGAGGAAATTCCCGGAGATTCGCTGGCGGCTACGGGCACACGGTTTCAGCGTCAGGTTCGTACAGATCGAGTGCGCCCACCAGGCCGGGCGCGGGCAGGCACCGGAGGCAGTGTTGGTGGTCACACCCGAGGTCATAGCAGGAATTTGTCAACTTCGAGTATTGCGTCCACCGCTTCGACATTCAGTCAACCCCCGGAACTTCGTCGGCGCCCCCCGCCTTTGATCATGGCCAACGACCCCGCAGCTCGATCCCGACTGGCAATGGATTCCACGGGAGAACCTCCGAGCACACCCCCAGCCCAGATCCGTGGTGTTCCTGGTCCCTCGACAGCTGGATCACCATACACCACCAATATGTTTGCTGCCACCGGTGGAAGCCCCCAATTCGCCTCGCCCATGGCTGGCACGACACATGGATTCTGGGAAGGAAAGACCGCCGCCCGTCGCCTTTCCGTGCCAACGAGCAGCAACCCTTTCCTCGCACAACATGGCAACACATATCCCCCGGTATATCACACTCCCGCCGGCGCACCTTATCCAAACGCCGCTGGTGTATTCGCAAGCCCCACTAGCACACATTATTCAGTATCTCGTGATGAGGCCACCTTAAGTGCGGCTGAGGCGGAGATGCGGAGAAGGACGTGGCACCCTTCGTCACACACAGGGTTTCCACGTCCTGGGACTAGTGGACTGAACCAATATCATACACCTGACAATGTCCCGGCCTCATTCGGCGCGAACGGTTCGACTGAGCATCCACCCCGACTCCCTGGGATTGAAAGTTTCGACAAAGTAGTCCAACGGCCGATGACCCCTCCCACTCGGAAAACCAGCCCAATGCAGCTTGATGGTCACCGTCCGCCCAACTCAAGCTTTGGATCCGGGTTCAATTACACACAGCCAGCCCACCGTCCACCACCTCCCATCTCCGGCCCTGGTCACCGACGAGGCCATGTATCCTGGGATATGTCTTTGCACCATAACCTTACCGGGCTGGATATCCGAGACCGACGTCCATCCACTGCATCCGCTTCTCAATGGAGTCAACAAACACTTGCGGAACTCCAAAGTGTCTCTTCCCGGCCATCCTCATCTTACCAGCCGGCGTTCGGCCCAACAGCCGAAAGAAGCCCCGAAGAGTATCGGGGACATCGCCCAAGCCTTTCAACAGGGAGCCGCACGCGGACTTCTCCCGAGGATTCCAGTAGCAGCGAGGGTGTCCATACCCCATCTACCGCATCGCTTGATTACCATCCCGCGATTGTGCACAGTAGCGGATATATCGAATCTAATGACTCCTCGCTGCCTTCCGATCATCCTCCACCGGTAGGAACCCCTGTTCGAACGGACGGCTATCGCCCCGGTTACTAATCCCGTCATAGATTTGTGGCCGTCAATCCTCCCACGCGGACAGCTACGAAACCCACAACGACCGAGAGCCCAGATCGGACGTCTTCTCAGATTCCCCTGCCCGGAATTCAGGCATGGGTCGTCTGGAGGCTCTTGTCGCCGTCGCTACGAGCGAGAACAAAGGAGCAACCAAGCTATTTCTGTAAATTGTCTGGACAAACCCATTCCACGCCATTCCACATATGAACGTCATCTTCACTTCCTGCAACTAGCTGGAGAGCAATCATCAGATAGTTGGCATTCCACCTACCGTTTATTTCACACGCTCCCAGCCACATCAACCACAAATAACCACTCTTTCCGCTTACCTTACTTCCAACATTCAGGCCATTGGCTTTTCTCGGCCTTTCCAACTCTTTCCTATATCTCTCTATATATTTCGGGGATCCTCACACTTGCTATCTTATGATAGTGGGACCCTTGATGAACTGATGACTTTGATTACGACTGATACACGACCGGGAAACATAGCCCATCTTTCTTTTACTTGTGTTCGGGAGTCTTATGTTTGTGTTTATCACTTTTTTTTTTCTTGGACGGCTCTGGATGGCAATCTTTTTCGGATGAGTTCTTAGTCCTGAGCTGCATGTCCTGGCGTTCGCATGGGAAGTTTTGTATTGATGGAGTCCTGTGCATGACGATACCCTGTCTATCGATCATTTGGTTCCTCTTTCATTTTTGGTCTGCGGTTTGACTTGAGTGTTGCATTTCACTCTCCGCCTTCTACATGCCCTCATCTCTCTATTTCGAGTCTCTTCCATCTCTCTCTCTCTCTACCTCATTATCTTGCCTTCTCGTTTCGTTTTGTGTCTTATTATATCTTTTTGGGGATCGATCGGGTCTGATGCTTTGACGGACTACAATTATGAGGACTTTTGATATATGTTATGATCTGAATATGACTGCAATGCATCGATACGGCCTTTTTATTAGTCGCAAAGTTCACATGTAAGAAACGTAAAACATAAGCAAACGTAAGGGCTAATGGAATATTGGGGTGAGCTCAAGTAAGACTGCGGAGTACAAACCTACTACTACCATAGCATAGTACATATGTAGTATATGAATGAGGCAGCCATGACTTGCAGGTGACGTCGACGGGAAGTTTAGGTTTCCGGGGCTGGTCTCCACTTGCAACCCTGCGTTTCTATGAACTGTTGAATGTTGTAGACATTTGGAAGAGAAATTAGGGGATAACTAAATATACAAAATTTTAAAATAAATCAATAGCTCAAATGTAACACAGTATTTGTGAGAGTTAAAAAAAAAGAGAAAGAAAATAAAATGGTAGAGGGCGAGTTCTAATAATACGGACTACTCTGTACATGCAAGCTAGGAGCAAGACGTCATAGTCGTCTGTCTTCCAAGGTTATTTCCCCAATCTTGAGAATTACCTATAAAACCTGGGATACTCCGACCTGTCATCTCCAGCATTTACTTCATTACACATTCTACATATTCCCCTCCCACCACTACACCACACACCACACACCATGACAAAGAGCCGCGTTCCATTGATGCTGGGTCTCGCTGCGGCGGGCGCAGGCGGATACTACCTTTATTCTGCGGGCGGCAATCCCTCAGCAGCAAAGCACCAAATGAAGAGTACGTGCTCTGAAAAATTTCTCCGATGCCATTGAACTGTCTCAGGACATGAAGCTGACTCCCCCTTCTCAGTCGACGCCGAAAAGGCACGTGAGAAGCTCCCAGGCACAGACAACGCTGAGAAGCGTGGCAAGGAGTACGGCAAGGAAGCCGGTGCCAATATCGACGATGCTGTAAGTTCTGTTCTATCCTAGGGTGTCAATCCAAACATCCGTCAATACTCGATACTCGCCCCACCACAAATGGAGATAATGTGACATGTCATACTAACTATCCACTTCTAGATCGCCAGAGCCCGTGCTGAAGTCCAGGAAGGCAAGGACAAGCTTGACGACCTCCGCAATGAAGCAAAGAGCAAGTTCAATGCTAGCCGGGAGAAGGTCAACAACAGTGTTGATCAGATCGATCGCGATGTCGAGCAAAAGGCTGCTGAAGCCAAGGGGGCCGTCTCTGGCTGGCTCGGTGGCAAGAAATAAGCTCTCTTCGCCCTTGAGCCCCTATGATTTAATGTCATGATTATACTACGGCGCTGGTCGGTTCGAGAATATCACGAATAATTCAATGTCCATAAAACTTCAATGTTGTGCGTGGGTGTAAATGTCATTGTAGTTGGAGTTCGTGCGTGCCGGCGCGACAGTACTCCGTGTTTTTTTTATCATTTCGCCTCCTTGATAGTAGAGGCTGATTTGGAATTGATTCTCTGCCATGCATTGGCATCGGACATCTCATGCGCCCGAAGAAATGTCTAAGCGCTGAGCTTGGGCACAGTGGCATTCCAATGCAGGAATATTACCGTAGTGACGAAAATAGCCTTGGAACTCTGTAATATTTTATAGTTACTGATTTTTTTTTTCTTCTAGAATTTATTAGATTAAGATATTACATCAAGACTTCTCTCTGCATCTTCGAAGTCTTATAGTCCGTCCGGAGTTCTTATAGTTCCCATCACGCGTTGCCATTTAACCCAAAAAGGCTAGTGCAGTTTTTTCAACGCGCCCTCGAACGCGTCTTTCTCCCTTGTACCTTCTCTGACATCTCCCACTTCCCCATTTTCCACTTTCTGCGCTTTCCCACATCTTGTTCGCTTTAATATCTCGGTATCTCTTACCTTGTCTATTATAATACAGTTGTATCCAGTGCCCTTTCTCTATTTATCTTCCCTCGACCGACAAAAAATTTTCAGCAGCCGCGATGCCGCGCACTTCCCGGTCAAGCTGCGTTGCCCAGCCAGCCATTCAAGCCTTCACTCGGGCAACAAAAGCCGGCATCACTCCGCAACTTCCTGCGAAGAAGGTCACATCTCTTCCGGTGTCGCCTTCCAAGAAACGCAAACTGCAGGAGCTCGAAAACTTCGACAACGGTAGCAGACAGACGCCAATTGAGGAGGAAGGCACGCCGTCGAAAACTTTGCGACTGAATGAATTGTCCGTTTCCTCACCACACAGCGGCCACTATGTTTCGCCCAAGAAAGCTTCTCCTGCGAAGACCCCAAGTCGGACACCGAGTCGACGAGTTGCCCCTGTCAAGAACGCGCCCTCGACACCCGCGACCCCTTCGAAGCAACGGACCCTAAACTTCGAGAAGGTTATTCCAGTGCACGAGGAAACCCCAGCAATCGAGCGGCCTGCATTCTTCAATGATATTCTAAACCTTCACTCCTCCTTTGTGCAAGCTTTCTCAATTCACATGGCACACAATGGCGCAAATACCCCTGCGGATCTCCGAGAATTCCTTGGCAGCGTCACCCGCCTCTGGAACAAGCGCAAGGTGCAGATAAAGGACTTGCAGCGTCTTGTGTGGGTCTGGGAACAGAGCTCGAAAGCCAACCACATTTCATATCGTCTGGCAAATTATGGACTCGGCAAAATCTGTATGGAGCGTACCGTACAGGTCAATGTGCACCCTCCAGCCTTGCAAGACTCTTTCGAAGAAACATTGGACTTGCTGTGGGAGAAGGCTCCAGAGGCACTTCGCGATGCCAGTGAGGAAGACCAAGCAACTCTGTTCATCGAATCTCTCGGGCTCTCCACAATCCACGAGTCGCTCACCCCTTTCACTGTTTTCCAGAAAGGCCAGCAACGACTACAGGATCTGAAGGGCGGTCTGCTCCGCTTGAACGCTGAGAGAACGCGCACAGAGTCAGCAGAGACAACTCCCCTGCAGCGGACGGCAACCACCAGCCGCCGCCAGGGTCTACTGGATCGCATCAAGAATAAGGAGCTACGCCAGTCCAAGCTTCCTCCCCCACCCGCCAAGAAGGAGCTCGTGCGACGTGCAGCCGCCGATCGAGTTGAAGAGGTAGCTGGGGTTCTGGCCCTGTTGCGTCCCGCCGGGTATGTGGGCAATGGCATCAAAGCCATGCTTGCAGCCCAACGCAAGCCCTTCAAGCTCGATGTGATGATTGAGCATGTTCGTGACTCGGTTCGCAGCGAATTTCCCCGTGAGGAAGTGGAGATGTGTCTTGAGATTCTGTCAGATAAAAAGGTGGCTGGTGACTGGATCAGTATTGTTACTGTTGGCCAGATGAAGTCGGTCGTGTTGAAGTCTTGCAAAGATGTCTCTGCCAAAGACATCGGGGCGAGAGCCGCCCTGCTGAAGGCTGACTGGGAGAAGTCTGCCTCTTGTGTGCAGACTCCTCTCTTGTGATTTACGTTTTTTTGGCGTGTTTTGTTTTTCATTGTTGGATACCTCACATCCGCAGAGTTGTTCTGCTCGCGGTCTTGCATCAGCGCTCGATACCCTGTACTTTATCATATGTCTTTTTAGCATCGAACGCTACCTTATGTAGTACTTCGCCATTAGGTCCTCGGACACCCAATATAATACCAGAAGAAATTCCCTAAAATGAATATTCAATGAAGTTCAAGGCCACCTTAGATGTACTTTTTTTTTCTATAGATTTCTTTCCTTCATTAGTGCTATAGCTAAAAGGGTAAGAAGAATGAACCCCAAAATATAGAATATACTAAAACGCTTAAAATATGCAAAACGAGTTCTCCATGTATAGCATTTGACCAAACGCCGAGCAGTACGGAGATCTTGGACACTTAACGCGCGACGCGTGCACGGACCACGCGAATTCAGCGCGTCGAATTGGACTCGTCCAAACCACCTTGATACCAGCATTTGCATTGCCCCTTGGTTCTTTACTCTTCACACCGACACCATGTCTTCCCGACCTGACTTAAAGGTATGAATTGAGACATTGAATATTCCCTAAACTACCAATACAACATCCACTAACTCAAACACTCAGGTCGACGACGAAGTCGGCTTCATTGGCTTCTACCGCAGCCTCCCTACACCCGATAATAATGAAACCATCCGCGTGTTCGACCGAGGTGACTGGTACTCCTCGCACGGTGCCGACGCCGAATTCATCGCACGCACCGTCTACAAAACAACCTCCGTGCTGCGCAACTTAGGCCGCAGCGAAACAGGCGGCCTCCCCTCGGTCACGATGAGCGTCACAGTCTTCCGAAACTTCCTCCGCGAAGCCCTCTTCCGATTGAACAAGCGTGTTGAGATTTTTGCCTCGGCC